AGTGAGTTGCTGGAAGCATCAGGAAAATGCCTTGATAGCCATCTCCTGCTCTGGCCACTAGGCATACCATCCGCTAGCACACATCTAGAAGGAGGGGTGATCCCAGGAAAAACAAAATTCTAGCAATGCATGTCAATAGCACCCATGTTCAAATGTCAGTCTGAAATAAAATGGAGTAATGCTGATAGAAGGATATAGACTAATTAAAATGTACAATTAGATGTCTAGGTACACACAAATACCTGATTGATAATACTGCATAAGTAAAGAAACTAACAAAACTCTTTGATTTATGCTATCTTCAGAAAGCAAGGAAGGAAGTGGGAGAAAAACAGGACAGATAATGATCACTGTAAGAGAACTGAAAGTTTAAATAATGGCTTCAAGACAATTGGTGTTAATAAGAAGCATCAGAAAAATAAGTAAGCTCTACAATCTTTCAGATGCACCATACAGAATGGCAGTGAATAGTGAGGTTGAGTGCTCATGAAAGCTAAAAGATTTTTTTTGACATTGTACAGCTCTTGTGTGCATTCTTGGTGATATTACAGAAAACAGAAAGAGGCCATTTCTGGTTCAAAGGGTAGGTGACTTTGCTAATGAGTTTACGCTTAGAGCTGGACTGCCTACAATCTTCTAACACTAAACATACGCCCTCATTTGGTATAGTGTGTTCAGCAAATACCATAATCATCTACTTCCATCCAATTGTTAAATTTAACAGAGAGGACAGATGTCAGACCTTTGCCAAACTTAAAGATACTTAACTGATCTTTTTACTTGATCACAGATTAATCACGTCCTTTATTTTATTTTATAAAATGTCTTCTAATAAGGATGATTTTTCTGAAGCAGCTTTGAAATCCTTTTTTCTGTGATGTAAAATCAGTGTTATTCCATTTAGACTGCAGAACAGACTGTGCAAAAAAGCCTTCTGCCCAGTCCCTTGCCACAGCTATCTGAGATCAGTCAGCTGCCCATCTCTCTTCATTCTGCTTGAGATCTTCAAAATTTGCCTTTCCCCCTTGTTCCTTGGCAGTAGCTACCATCGCACATTTGGCCAAAGTCAGAGGTGCACCTAAATGATTTTAAGGGAGTCTAAACTGGTGTAATTCACCCTTCTGTTACGGTTTTTTTCCTGCTATACTCCTTTTTCATCACCTAAACACATAAATTACCATCTTAGACCCATTCAGACTCAGTGAACCAAACTGAGTGATGGGAGTTAAGGGAATGCAAACAAATGGAATGTGAATATAACGGGACTTTAACTGACTCATACTTTCCACCGCCTTATATCTTGTATACTCATTCACAGATGTGCAAAGTGGGTGTAAAACACTGTCCCCAATACAAGTGAGCAGAGAATTCAGATTTGGTTCAGTTTCACACAGGTGTAAATTACTACACAAGGTGCAAGGCACTGATAAATCAAGCTCACTGAGTGTAAGATAATGTCATATACATGCGCGCTAGCCCACTTTTACAGGTCAATCCTGAACGGTGTTGAACTCTCTAGCCCAATAAAACACTTAAGCATGTGTTTTAATTTAAGTAAGTAGTCCCAGTAACTTCAAGGGAGCTACTCACATGGGAACTACTACCCATTTTGCAACTAGAGAAACTGAGGCACAGCTCTGGTAAGTGACTTGCCTAATATTATTGAGGACATCTGTGAAAGAGTCAGGAACAGACCCCACATCTCCTTATTCCCAGTCCTATGTCTCAGTCACAAAACTGTGATGCCCCCTTTGCCAAGAATATTGGTAGGTTGCAAAATAGCATGAAGTTCCTTATTTATTAAACGAAGGGCTGGTCTACACTACGGGGGGCGTGGGGGTGGAGAGGAGGGATCGATCTATTTGTAGCTAAAGTCGACATACTTAGATCTACTTACCACAGTGTCTTCACTGTGGTGTGTCGACAGGAGACGCTCTCCCATCAATTCCCCTTGCGCGTCTCGTTGAGGTGGAATACCAAAGTCGACGCTAGAGCAATCGGCGGTTGATTTATCACACGATAAATCGACCCCCGCTGGAGCGACCACTGCCTGTCGATCAGGATGATAGTGTAGACAAGCCCCAAAGCAGGTCAGTATAGAATGACAATTCTTTTAAAAAGTCGATCTACCTGGGATACTTAATGCCTATATGTAATTGGTAATGAAACATGGAACCTTTCTCCCTTAGGCCACTGGCTCAAATTTGGCCCTATCTGTAGTTGGTAGGGATGTCAAGTCATTACCGTCTGATGATCATTTGGTAGGCTGTGTGAAGTGAGTCTGTGGTCTGGCTCCACTTTCTATTGAACAAGTATCCAAATCACAATTAGCCTCCTTGTCTAAATCCTCAGCAGAAAAAGATAAGGACAAGAATAGGCAAAGGAGAATGAAATGCCCTCTACTTCCTAGAAATTGTTCCAGCATAGTAGGGCTTCTTCTTATGGCTGATGTAGATGTAGAACAACAACTATAATTTTACATGTAGATGATTAAGTCAGATAATTGAATCAGGAGTAGAGGAGTGTAATGCTGTGATGCCTCCTTTGTATTTGTGAAGCAGGCATTATGTTCCACAGTCTGTTTGGGGTGCCCACAGTCACACATCGGAGGGTTTTTAATTTTCCATTTGTGCATCAAGTGTCCGCATCTGCCATGGTTTATGTGGATGCTGTTTGGGGCTGCCCATAAGCTTCACGGAAGATCAAAGCCAGAGATCTTCTGCATCAGGTCTTTCACAAGGTGTTTGTGACTTCTTGTGAACACCATTTGGCTTTCCAAGCTCCATCAGGGTTGAAGTCAAATTGCTGGAAGTTAAGTGCATAGGTCCAAAAGGGCTTGCATGACTTCAAGCGGTGGTGAGGGACATCATTGAGGTCCCAGTGGTTGGGGAGACATTAGTTTTTCTCTATTCGCTGGACTTCCCAGAGGGTTAGGGCATTGCGGTGAATGGATGGGAAAGCAATGTGTAACAGCACAGACAGCCAGGGTGTTGGGGTCAACTTGAGGGTTCCAGTGATGCATCGCCTTGCAGTGTTTAGTTGGACATCAACAAGTCGAATGTGACTACTTCTGTTCATACCGGTGCACAATACTCAGCTTCAGAATACACAAGGGCCATCACTGATATCCGTTGCACTGATGCTCCTCAGCTTGTGCTTGCCAGTTTCTGGACCAGGTTGACCCTTGTCTTCGTCTCGGTGGCTACCTTCTTCAGCTGGTCGTGGAAGGTTAGCGTGCGGTCCAGCTTCACTCCGATATAAGTTGGAGAGAGGTCATGTTGCACAGTGTTGCCACAGGTGGTCACTTTCAGAGTGCGCTTAGCATTCCTATTATCAAGATGGAATGCAGTTACTGTTGTTCTGTGGGGGTTTGGCCTGAGCCTCCATTTCCAGAGATACTCCTCCATGGTGTTTAGGTCCCCGTTCAAGGTCGACTTGATGTTATTGAAGGTGGTTGCTTGTGTCGCCAGAACAAAGTCATCTGCATATACAAATTTGCGTGACTTCATTGGTGGCATGTCACTCATGTAGGCACTGAAGAGCGTCAGCACGAGTACTGAGCCCTATGGCAATCCATTGTGGAGGAACCGGGGCGAGCTTACTTTGTCGCCCAGATGGACACGTAGCCGCCTATTGCTCATCATCGTCCATAGCAGGCTTAGCGTTTTGAGGCAGGGGATGATCTTTGCAAGCTTCAGCATCAGGCCTTTAATCTAGACAGTGTTGGAGCAGTGCTGAGGAGCATTTGTGATATGGGAAGATCGCACTGCTTGTTTGTACTTGTCCTGCAAATAGTGGACTGTGATCCCCATGGCTATCAATCCAGTATTAAATGGATTCTCTTTGAAGTCTTTAAATCAAAAATGTGAGGACTTCAGTAACTCAGCCAGAGGTTATGGGCCTACTACAGCAGTGAGGCCAGTGAGGTTCTGTGACTAGATCAGTGTTTCTCAAACTGAGGTTGCCGCTTGTGTAGGGAAAGCCCCTGGCGGGCCGGGCTGGTTTGTTTACCTGCCCCGTCCGCAGGTCCAGCCGATCTCGGCTTCCTCTGCCCGCGGTTCACTGCTCCGGGCCAATGGGAGCTGCTGGAAGCGGCGCGGGCCAAGGGACTTACTGGCCGCCGCTTCCAGCACCCCATTGGCCTGCAGCGGCGAACCGCGGCCAGTGGGAGCCGCGATCGGCCGGACCTGCGGATGGGGCAGGTAAACAAACCGGCCCAGCCCGCCAGGGACTAGATGATCATGATGGTCCCTTCTGACCTTAAAATTTAGGAGTCTAAATGTATTTTTAAAAACTCTTTACTAAAAATTTTAATTCTATTATGAATGTTTATTCTCAATTTCGCTATCTCTTTTTGGAATGACTAAGCAGAAAAATCTATTGATTTTTATTAAATTGAGAGATTAAAACATAGAAAGAATTGTGTTCCCTAGCCACTGAATGTATTACACAAAGTTACTCAATACAATTTGAAACACAGAACAAAGCAAACAGACTCATTTTCTGTTGGTTTAAAATGAATTGTACTGGGTTGGAAAATTAAAAGCACTTTGATAGTTTTGGGAGTAAAGTTTGTAGATAAGTACAAAAATGCATGTTACTTTACAATTTTCAGATTAATTGTGTTATCCACTGACTGTATGCCTCTTCAAAGTAAATATTTTTCTAGCTGTATTTAATCCAATAAATTATTAGAATAAAGCACACAAAATGGACTGTTTTAGCAAATTATTAGGCACAGGGTTTGTTTGCTTTTTCATGACAACACATTCCAAAATATAAAGCAGATTTCAACTTGTTATTTTCTGTCTTAGCTGACAAAATGCAGATGGATTATAAACACGAAGAACATGTTAAACCTATTCAAGCCTACAAATAAATATCCAAGCCTTGCACAGCAAACATTAGCAATGACATTGCTATAATTTCCTGATCTAGGTCAAAACTCAGCAGGAAATCTCATTGTCTATTTTTATCCCAGCTCACTGGAAGTGCTTTACCTTTCTGTTTTCTTGATCAGCACAGCCCTGAAGATTTGTTCCTGGGGAGTCCTCTCTTTTTCAACAGTTGGCTGCACAAAAGGGTGGACAGCAGCCACGATGAAACCCTGCTGATATAGTTCTTGCAGCTGAGATGGAAGATCACGCCAGGAAGAGAGCTTGATTGCAGAGGAGCTTGGTAGCTCATCTGGAAACAAAAACAAAAAATAAATCGATCGATAATCCTAAATTAAACTACCTTTTTTTGTATTCCAGCCTCTCTGGAGGTAAGCATGCTTCACACTGATGCGCACCATTCCAGCTGATATACCTGTAGCTAACTGAGGTTTACTTGATTCCAGAATTCTTAACAGATTGTCTTGCAAAAGGTTTAATTACTGCATAAATGACTGGTCCAATTAAATGTAAAGGGTCGGAATCACATTAAAATACAAAGTGTGTTGGATTTTTGGTGGATAGTGTGGGGAGGGAAGACTTAGTAAGCATGTAGCATCATTCTATCCCAATATAATGATCAGCACCAATGGTCAAAATGTAACACACGAACAAGGGGAAATTCATTAATGAATGTAAAAGAAGACAAATTCAAAAATAATAGAAGGAAGCACTCTTTTTTCCACACAATGCACAGACTGCAGAACTCCTTGCAACATGATGCCATTGAGACCAAGACCCTAGCAAGATTTAAAAAAAATGAATATTCATAAGAATAAAAAGAATATCCAGTTATAATAAGTGGGATAATCTTCCCACCCCCACTCTACCTACTGCAGATTCTTACCCCTTTCTCTGAAGCACCTGGTGCTGGCTATTCTCAAACAGAATCCTGTACTAGATGGACTTTGGGTCTGATCCAGTCTGGCAGATCCTATCTTATCCCAGTAGCCCTGCATAGTTGAGAAGAGAATCTGTAAATCATTTACAACAACCTTCCTGCATCTGCCTCAGCCACTCTCCATACTTTTTCAAGTGTTATCTGCAAACACATCTTTCCTCCCTGGCTCTGCTGCTTAATTCCTCTCTCCCTTGGCTATCATTTATTTTTTAACTAAGAGCCTAGTTGTGTGAGGTGAGGTGCCAAGTGCCCTCAACACCCACTGAAATCAATGGGAGTTGAGAGCACTCAGCCATTTGCAGGAAGTGCTCAGCTCCCCGCAGGACTGGACCCTTGCTGTAAATCGCTCTGGAATAGAGTTTGTTGAAAGATGCTAGTTATGCAAAATAAAGTTTTATTGTATTGCATTTCCCATCAGATAGTGTGGGTATCCTTTATGAATAATGAAAGAAGTTATCAAAAACTAATAAATATTCTAAACCAATAACAGTGGGGAATAATTTAAATAATAATAGGATACCTATGCTACGTACACTTTTTCTTAACACATAAGAACATGTTCCAGACAAGGATAATGAAGCTTTTGATTGAAGGTGATATGACACAGTTTTTTAATTGTGTAAATAAAGAGAGAAACCTAAGAAATGTATATGGTGACAGATCTTAGAGAACTGACGTATCTATCACAGCACACAAATCACTTGGGATTCATAAAAAAAGCTATCCAATAAATAATGTATAATAAATATAAATAATCAAACACACTGTTAATTATATTGGTCCTGCTAGGGAGTAAAGTGGAGGGGAAAGCCCAAGTGTCCAAACTCTACTTATGTGTTGTTCAAAACGTCTACCTCCTCTGGAGTGCTCTCCCTTCCACTTCTTCTAATAATTATTCACTGTGAGCCCCAGAGTACAGGAGAAGTAATGATATTAATAAGAAAATGTAGGCTGAAATAGCTTTCTAACAGTGAGATCTATCAAGACTGTGGAATAGTTTCTCAAAAGGAATGGTGGGAGCCTTATTGTTTGAGAAATTTAGAACTGACCTTGACAAACCCCTGGAGCATATGCAGTAGAGAACAATGCCACACTAGCCAGTAGACAGTAAAGAGCTAGGTTATCTAGTCTACCCTACGTTTTGAGATATAAAAAACTAACCACCAGAACATTTCTGCTAAAACGTTGACAGTTAATGTTGACACCCTAAAGCAATGAATAGGGGTGATTTCACTTCTCAGAGCTATTGTTTAAAGCACAATGGGAGGTGCAGGGGCCGTGCCTGCAGGAGGAGGCAGCGCACAGAGCTGCCTGGCCACGCCTTCACCTAGGAGTTGAGCAAGGGTGATGTCACTGCTTCCAGGGAGACCCCCAGGTAAGCGCCGCTCAGAGCCCGCCTCACCCCATGCTGTGCCCCAACCCCTGTCCCCTCCCACACCCAACTCTGCTGTGGGGGGGGGGAGAGGAGATGCGGTGGCCTTAGAAATGCCCCAGCAGGTGCGACTGGTGCAGGGGCTTGCCTCTGAGCCAGGCGCACTGGCCACTGCAAAAGCCACGGAGGTCACAGAAAGTTGCGGAATCCGTGACAAACTCACAGCTTTACTCATGCTTACCTTGGGCATGGACAATGGATGTGTCTTTACTTATGTCTGGATTATTCTGCATACCCCCTAAAAGAAAGATTTGGGGATCTAATAGAAGGTCAGCACATAAGTCTGAGACAGTTGCCTAAATACTTCCTCCCAAATGCCAAATACGATGGGAAAATGTCAAAGCAAACATATTTGTGCCCCAAGACAAGCACTTTAAAAATCCTTAGTATTATTTCCATCTATCTTAACACTCTCATAGAGCCTCATCCAACCCCCAGTTAAAGTCAATGGAAAAAGTCCTATTGACTTCAATAACTGATAGCATTTTTCACCTGTAGATCTCAAAGCATTTTACAAAGTATGATTTATCCACATTTTAAAGATGGGGAAACTGAAGCTGTGAAGTGAAGTGTCTTACCCAAGGACACACAGCACGTCAGTGGCAGAGCAAACCTTTCCACAATTCCAGTATTTACAATAATTACACACGGAAAACCTGTGTATCCTGCCAAAGGTCCAGTACATTCTTAACAGGGTTTTCTGTTGTATCAATCTTGGGTTTAAAGTGACTATAGCGCTACTAACATTTTTGCAAATTCTGCTCCACATTCCCATGTTTCTTGTTACACTTCACATCCTGACCTCAATGATTGCTCTGTTTATTCGGTCTAGGTTTAGACGAGAATGTGAGAAGCTTGTAAATGACAGATGCTGTGTTTTTCAATTTAGCTACAGTTGAAAGTAGAAACAGAAGTGTGGGGTGTGTTTGGAACTGATTCCCAGGCAAATTAGGTTGCTGCTCGGCTGATAATTGAAGCTGCAAGTATTTCCAGCAATACTCATTACCAACAGATCAAACAGTATCTTACAGATCCTAGAGAAGGAAAAGAATATTCCCCCATGAAACAACTGACATCCATGCGTTTCCTGGGGTCTACAACTCCGGGGTTAGCCCATAAATTCTATATTGCTAAAAGGAGAGATCTCAGATTGTCTCCCTCTTGCAGAGAAACACAGGGAGGCAGACTGGACACAGAATTCTAGAGGATGAACTGTGAAAAATTTAAAGGGGATTGTCCCCTCAGGTGCTTGGGCCTATCCGAGGGGCAGTGCAAGGTGGAGGTGCAACTTCCCAGCCTCACAGATCCTGAGGCCCACAAGGGAGCGAAAGCTGAGAATCACAGATGAAGAGGCAGCTACAGCTAGGGGACCCCTTGGAGCTGTTCTAGTGGCCTCATCTTCTCCTGACTGCACAACTCTTTCTGGAACAAGGCTACCATTTGGCGAACCCTTCCTGGCTGCAAACTAACAGCTGGGCAGGAGAATCCACAGAAATCAATGCTACTTCCAACGGCATTAACTTTAGGGTGACCAGATAGCAAGTGTGAAAAATCAGGACAGAGGGTGGGGGGTAATAGGCATCTGTATAAGAAAAATCCCTGAATATCAGGACTGTCCCTATAAAATCGTAACATCTAGTCACCCTAATTAACTTCCTCTTGGAATCTGAAACAGAACTTTGAAAGGCTAGCAAGGAATGGAGCCACAGAGAGCAACTAGTATCTAGCTCCATCTCCTTCCCCAAAACCCTGCAAAGCCTAGTCCCTGCAGAGAGGCTTCTAACAAGTTCTTATGGTGGGCAGATGATGCCATAAAACTGCAACTCCCCTAGTGTCCCACAGGAGATAGTCCACTCTATCTCTGTCTCTGCTTGTTGTACCAGAGGGGATAATTTGGACTTCTTTACTTTTTATTTGTCAGCCTTATCCAAAGCGACCCTCCCAGAAGCCATGGAGAAATATGGAGAGTATTTACTTTGGTAGCACTGTCCTCCTGTTTGCGTAGAAAGTGGCACTGGTGATGTCCAAAGCTCCCCAGTGTTCACCCACTTAGGGCTATCCTGGGTCTTGTCCCTGAACCACAAGACAATCTGTTCCAAAAGACAATGGGCTAAATCCACAAAAAGGACTTAGGCTTTGCCTAGAGCAGGGGTTCTCAAACTTCATTGCACCGTGACCTATTTCTAACAACAAAAATTACTACATGACCCCAGGAGGGGGGACCAAAGCCTGAGCCTGCCCAAGTCCCACCACCTCGGGTTGGGGGGAGGGGAAAGCCCGAGCCCCACCGCCTTGAGCGGGAGGGGGGAAAAGCCAAAGCCCCAGGGCTTCAGCCTACAGCAGGGGGCTTGTAACCTGAGCCCTGATGCCCATGACTGAAGCTGTTGGGCTTCAGCTTCGGCCCCAGTTGGTGGGTTTCGGGCTTCTGCTTCAGCCCCAGGAAGTCTCAGCTAACCCTGGTGACCCCATTAAAAAGGGGTTGTGACCCACTTTGGGGTCCCGACCAACAGTTTGAGAATCGCTGGCCTAGGGAACTTTAATGGTGAAAACTGAGGCACCAAGGGACTTTAGGCACAACAGAATTAGGCAGCGGGTGAGTGGGATTTTGATGATCTCTGGTGCCTAAATGTTGGATTTAGGAGCTTAATGTGACAGTTGGACACAAGTCTTTTGGGGGCTCTGGGCCAATGTTTATAAATACTGCTGTTCCCTTAAGGACTCCATAACCCCTGGAATTAAGCCATAGATGATTTCTAGCAATTGTGTTAGGGTCTATGTTGAGATAAGCAGATGCATCCTTCATCAGATATTAAGAGAGAAGAATATTACAAACGCAGTGGGCTGTTCCACCTGTATCAAACAATTAGACTTGGATAACTCTGGGAAGCTGCAGTCTACACCTTTCACAAAAAAGAACTAC